AATAAGATTATCAATTATTTTTAACAGCAGTAATAAAATAAAGTCATATATAATACAATCTATTTGTAATCAAACAATCATAACAGACACGAAAGCACTATCGATTAAGTTAATTGAATACTTATAAAAAATAAAGAAGTTAAACAGGGGACATAATAAGGTTGCATTTATATAGCATTTATGTAGCGTAAAAACTAGTTAAGTCGACAAGCCTTATTATAATATAAATAACATAATTCAAAACGTTTTTACCATGACAGATAATTCAAATGACAATCAAATATATACATGTAGTTGTTTTTCTTATTATTAAATAAGAGAAAATATTCATGCAATCTCATTGTGTATTAAGTCAGACTCTTTTTCCAATCATTTAATTGAGTTGCACCCATTAAAAATCCAAATGCGTATTCTTTTCAATGTAGTAACCGCGAACCATTATAAATACGTCAGTTGTTTAGCTCACCAGAGCCGAAGGCTCAGGGTGAGCTATTAGTATCAAAGGGGGATACTCCGGCGTCCGTCGTCATGCGTCAACAATCGTCTTCTTCTCATAAACTGCTGGGCAGATTTACTTCAAATTTGGTCTGTAGCATCCTTGTGACAGTCACCCTTGAATTAGCTCATGTCATTTGAATTGGCCCCTTTTAGGGGTCAACAGAGCTAAAAATAGAAAAACCTTTAAACATTTTCTTCTACAGAACTAATTGATGGATGATCACCAAACTGTTTGTAGCCTACTTGGGTAGTCTTTTATCAAGTTTGCTCATATTAATTTGATTGGCCCCTTTTAGTGGTTTCCAGGGTTAAAAATAGAAAAACATTCAGACATCTTCTTCTACAGAACTAATGGATGGATGATCACCAAACTTTCTCTGTAGCGTTCTTGGTTAGTCTTATATCAAGTTTGCTCATATTATTGTGATTGGCCCCTACTTGGGGCAGCTATAGCTAAAAATAGAAATACCTTTAAACTTCTATTTCTACAGAACTAATTGATGGATGATCACCAAACTTTGTCTGTAGCAATCTCGGGTAGTCTTTTATTGCATTTGATCATATTAATTTGATTGGCCCCTTTTAGGGGTCTCAAGGGCTAAAAATAGAAAAACCTTTAAACGTCTTCTTCTATAGTGATCACCAAATTTTGTCCGTAGCATTCTTAGGTAGTCTTTTATCAAGTTTGCTCATATTTATTTGATTGGCCCTTTTTAGGGGCCGCTAAATCTAAAAATAGAAATACCTTTAAATATCTATATCTAGAGAACTAATTGGTGGATAATCACCAAACTTTGCCTGTAGCATTCTTGGTTAGTCTGTTAAAAAATTTGCTCAAATTAATTTCATTGGCCCCTTTTAGGGGCCATTAAAGCCTAAAATAGAAAAACCTTTGAACATCATTTCCTACTGAAATAATTGAAAAATGATCATCAAACTTTGTACCATTATTAGGTAGTCTTTATCAAGTTTGGTCATATTTATTGGCTCAAATTTAATATCAGAAAATATTGACAATGGATAATCACCAACACTGAAGAGCAATTTTTTCTGGTGAGCGACTCAGGGCCATCATGGCCCTCTTGTTTTAGTTATTATGGGGTTTGGAGTTCATATCTATATATTGTCTTTATTATACCAAAAGCAGTAAACATCATAAGACATGTAAAATAAATCATCTTTTTAATATTATAGCGTTAATTATTTGTTTAATGCGTGCGAATTCACACTGTTATGTTTTATGAAAAATCTAAATTATAATAGAATCATTATGTCATACGATCCAAACACAAGTATTGAGAAACGTACAGACTAAAGGGGAAAGACTAAACTTTATTTGCGACCATTTCCTTCAGCGGTTACTTCTCTTTTGCTTAAGTAAATCCAGCCAAAACGAACTAATGGTAACGAAAAATTAATACTTTAATGAAGGGACAAACCACTGAAAATAAATACATGTATTAGTTGAATCTTAAAGTTTTTAAGGCTGTAATAAACAAATAAGGCGGCTATTCATTGCTAAAGAAATATATTAATTTGAGTGAACCCTTACACAGGTCGTTTGAAGATCACACCCAGGACATATTTTAATTACTTATTAAAAATATAGATATTATTTTTTCCTAAGGGACGTTGGGTTTTACTAATTTCTCAAGTGTGGTTATGGGTTTAACTGGCACAATGGGTAGTAACAAAATGCCCAACACATAATTCTTTAGTTTTTAGCTCACCATAGCCGAAGGCTCAGTAAGAGCTATTAGTATCAAGGGGGGATACTCCGTCGTCATGAGTTAACAATCGTCTTCTTGTCTGAAATTGCTTGGCAGATTTACTTTAAATTTGGTCTGTAGCATCCTTGTGACAGTCACTCTTAAATTTGCTCATGTCATTTCAATTGGCCCCTTTTAAGGTCAACCTGGGGTCAAAATTGGCCCCGCCCCGGGGGTCTTTGATTTTCAATATGTACATATATTAAAAAAATCTTATTGTGTGAAGGTACAAGGCTTAGAGCTTTAATATTTGTTATATAATATCATCTATAGGTAGTATACTAAAATTGTTCAAATTTTGCCTCTAGTGTTAAAATTAGCCCCGCCCCGGGTGTCATAGGTTTTCCTCATATGTATATAGTAAAACCTTAAAAAATCATCTTCTCTAAATTGACAAAGGCTAGAGTTTGATATTTTGCATGAAATAGTGTGTAGTAAACCTTTAGCAAGATTGTACAAATTATAGCCCTGGGGTAAAAATTTGCCCCACCCCCGGTGGTCATTGATTTATACTATGTACATATAGTAAAAAAATTAAAAATCTTATTGTCTGAAGGTACAAGGCTTAGAGCTTTGATATTTGGTATATGATATCATCTATAGGTACTCTACCAAAGTTGTTCAAATTTTGCCTCTAGTGTCAAAACTAGCCCCGCCCCGGGGGTCATCGGTTTTCCTTACATTTATATAGTAAAAACTTTAAAAAAAATCTTCTCGAATTGACAAAGTAAGTGATCTTTGCATTATGGCAATCAGTATAGAAACAAAAAAATGTGTTCCTACATTACTATTTAGTGTTGTATTTATGCGGGGGCAATGCAATCTTGTTTTGAAGTACTGTTATGTTACCAAACAGAATGTATAAAAGATTTGTTGTCCCAAACTGTAAACTTCAAACATCTACACCTTACATGTTTTGCATGTGACATTTTGTGTTTTCATTCAAAAAAGTTATAAAAAAAATTGTCCAGTCAAAATTAATCCTTCTCTAGTGGTTATTTATTCTGGATTTATTCTACATAGTCTCATAGGAACACACTTGCAACATACATATTTTTAACAAAGCCTTTCCAAAATATTATGGCAAAATATTACAATTTATGTAGTGAATAATGAAATGATGGTTAAGATGAGTGATCTAGGGCCATCTTAGCGGCCCTATTGTTTATTATGAAGAAAAAAAGCTAAAACAATCAGTGTTGTGAAAGAATATGACTAGAGGGGCAAGTTAAAGATGAGCTGAACTTGCCGAAAGAGCTTGTCACTTGCCTTTCAGCAGAAAAATAATTTTCAACACTGAAAAGCAGTTGTTTCTGGTGAGCGACTCAGGACCATCATGGCCCTCTTGTTTTATTTGTTTCCATGTTATAAAGAATGCAGTAAAAACATATCATGGATATAACAACAAGTAAGTAACATGACAAATGTACACTGGTGAAATTTAACTCTGGTTCCTTTTATATTAAAGCATGTTTTTTACACGAAATACAGGTATTATGACGAGAGTTTATTAAGAAAGATAATAATGACCTCACTCCAAAACATTCAATTCCTTTGAAAAAGTTATGAACAAGTAAAGCCAAATAGTCAAACATGTATTAGCATAAATATATATACATGATTTTCTAAGGTAAGATGAACAGAAGTGAAAAGAAGTGACACTTTATAATTCAAGAGGCATTTTCTCGTTTTAAAACTTGGTGGATATATAATATACACACAAAAAAATCACAAATCTCTGGATTTTGGTCCAGTGTGCTAACCACCCACTACACCACAGCCGCTGTTCCGTTTACTTCGAGCTAATTGACATTGTATATTTAAGTTATTTTTAGCTTGCATATTTTGACGTCATCATTTTTATTCCAAAATTGGCATCATTTATATATACATAGTGGAGTTAGACATTTTTAAAAAAAATTCTAATAAACTAAACTATTCTCATTCCATATTCTCATAAACTAAACTATTGTCATTCCATATTCTATATGCAGAAGAAATTCACGTAATTCGCTATAAATCACAGAACTGCATGTGTCTTGTTTTACACTAAGTACTAGTATTTGTTTTAGAAACGTTCTATGTCCGGCGAATTATAGAATACCCAAATTTCGGATCCGTAACAATATACGTTTATTCTCCTTATAAAAGGCTTATCAAGTCCAAGTCAAATACTCGTCATTTGAAATATCAAAGTCCCAATTAGGATTTATTTCTCATAATTAAGAGTTTTAAAAATAATGAAAAGAAATGAATTCTGTATAAGTACATCGTAAATTTAAGACCTTTTTTTAGAAGTTACTGATAGAAAGGAAAAGAATCCCTAAAAGACGTCCAAATCGGCAAATTGAAAATGTTGCAGGCTCGGTTTGATTGAGCCTGTTCAGATTGAACCTTACTTACACATTTCAATCTTAAAGTTCTTTGCACATTATTTCAAATGAATGTATTGTAATTGTTTCAATATAGTCATAATTGCCATTCTGGATATGTAAGACAAATGTATTTAAGTTGATGATAATATTATTTATCTAATCTATCATATTACAGAATAACAAAATTAGCTATTCAAAAAGGAAGTGTTTAAATCTAATGGAGATGTAACTTGCAATAAATTGCACGCAACACTCATGTTTAACTATCGATTTTGTACATTCTTGACTATATTCAATTTGAATATTTATTTTTGGTAGCTTTGTATATCGCTGGATTGGATTCAAGTTTCAGTTTCATGAATTTTGCGCGTCAACATTTCTGTTTCGGTTACTTGAGCTGTCTATATATTTATATTTTGTCTATTAACTGCGGTACCACATATATAAGATTGTTTTTCTTCGGGGGAAAAGGTATGTTACATTTTATGAATTTGTCTACATCAAATATTTTTTCACTTTTCATTTTATCATTTAAATAATACTTTAATTAATTAAATGCAGACGATATTTACGGTTTATTTAAATGGAAAAAAAAACAATCATTTTTTAAATTCTTAATTAGCCTTTCCTATTATGTGACTTATCATATATGTTAGATATAGATAAATATCTTATTTTAGTATATTATTTTCCATTTCCATGTAATAATGAATTCATTTTCTGAAATTTAGACATTTGACCTAGCAGCACAATTACAGTAAAACTGTATGTTAATGCTATACAAGACATTGCATATCGACAGAAGGACGTTTTTAATTTGCAAGAGTGATTTCCGATATCATAAATGTATTGAAGATAAAGAGAAAATTATTGTGTTTAAAGATCCAGTAGAAGGTTTGATCTAGTTTGACATAATACACAAGAAAAGCATAAACAACTTTCATCCATAAATAAAATAGTTGCATTCATTACATATAACGAGAAAATAAACGTAAAAAACGGACATTTGCTAAAAGCAACATCCTTTAGAAAGCCTTATAAATAATAATTGTTAGAACGCATACCTGTAATGATTCGTCACACAATATTTAAACTAGAAACGACTCAGACTTTTGATATTCGTTTAACTTATTTGAACACTTGTTTTCATAAATGTAGGGCATGTCTCTGTTTTCTTGTCAGAAAGTATTTGTATTCAAATACCAAAATTTTATAAGTAAACAATATTCGAGTATAATGATAACTGAAGATTGAAACACGTTCAGTGTTCTTACCACTATCAGAATTTTCTGTTATCCCTAAATCCTACCTAGTTCAAAAGACTTTCGAGCCTTCTTTATTGTATAGAACATAGCTGGTTTTCGTAAAGGTTACGCAGCCCAAAATGTTATACTTTTTGGGATTTTACGCCGCAATAGCCGAGTAAAGGATAATCAAACATTTACTGATGAACATTTAATACGTAGGCAAATTGGTTTGTATGGTTAATTCCCTAACGGTATATATAAAAGAAAAGCAAAGAACTCGCTAAGTACGCCCAAAACCGGAAAATTAAAGATTTCGCAGGCTTGTTTTGATTCAGCCCGCTCATGGGACTAAGCTGCCGTCCCCGCCACCTTGCACAGGCGTTACAATAATACAATGGAATATGGATAAAAAAATGATTAAAAAATTGATTTAAGATACATCGGCATGTATGATAAACGGCACATGGTAAATCGGATTGATCTGATAAGTTTGAATTACACGGCTTGTAGTAACTCGAGCTCCACACACGCTACCCGTGCTTAGAATATTTTAATTGAAATTCAAACATTTTAAGTTTACTTATTGACTTCCCTGGGATAAGTTCAACAAAACTTTCCACCCACTTTTTTATTCAGGATTGAAATATGGGGTTTACGATATCTTGACACTATGGAATGTGTACAACTTAAGCATGTGTTAAGATTAAAATAATTAATGTATTGACTTTTAATCTTAACACATGTTTAAGTTGTACACATTAAACTTATATATATATATATATATATTACCAATTAATCTAACTGCAATCGTATACAGATATAAAGAGAAAAAAGGATTTACTATATCTAAGACTTTTTATGGCCGAATGCCTTCTAAAATCAGTTTGACTTCTCGCAAAATTTACAGGAAGAAAAATTTTCATAGGTCATTTTAGAATTGCAAACTTAACTCTGGGAATCTCATTGCCCGTTTTAAAATAAAATGTAAAGGACAGTCCGAAAATGAAATATGCAGAATAGTTCTTTAAGTTTCTAGTTAAATTGCTAAGATATTAAAGTTCTGCTTATACTTCCTCCCACAAAACATTTTGCACTGCGTTTATACCTCATTATATTTTCTAGTGATCATTTTACCGGTATTTTACATAAGAACTTATTGAGTTTTTTACACAATAACTTACTGAGTTATAAATTTCGTCCAACATATCAAAACGACCTATAATGTTCACAATCCTGTAAGTTTAGTCATGCGCATGAAAATATCGAAAAACATATAAAAAATCTGATCCTATCGGACATCCTCAGTATATATTCAATAATGTCCAAAATATTATATGATCATGTATATCAATGTTTATCATTTTCATATATCTTGCATAATAATCAAGCATCAATATTTATACCCCCGCACAACGAAGTTGTAAGGGGGGTATACTGGAATTAGCTTGTCCGTCCGGCCGTCTCCCTTCCGGCCGTCCGTCTGGTTTTCCTTATCCGCCCAATATCTTAAGATTCCTTTGACCCACAGTCTTCATATGTGGCATTTAAATTGTTCATAATGAATAGAGGATCCCTATTGATTTTGATGTCACTGGGTCAAAGGTCAAGGTCATAGGGGTATTGACTAAAAAGCTTGTCCGCCCAATAACTTGAGATTCCTTTGACCCAAAGTCCTCATATTTAGTAATTAGATTGGTCATGATAAGTAAATGATTCCTATTGATTTAGAGGTCACCAGGTCAAAGGTCAAGGTCACAGGGGCATTGACTTAAAAAAAAGCTTGTCCGCCCAATAACTTAATATTCCTTTGACATTTGGTATTTAGATTGATCATGATTAGTAGATGATCCCTATTGATTTTGAGGTCACTGTGTCAAAGGCCAAGGTAATATGGGCATTGACTGAAAAAAACTTGTCTGCCCAATTACTTAAGATTCTGTTGACCAACAGTCCTCATATTTGGTATTTAAATTGGTCATGATAAGAAGATGATCCCTCTTGATTTTGTGGTCACTGGGTCTAAGGGCAAGGTCACAGGGGCCTTGACACAAAAAAAGCTTGTCCGCCCATTAACGTAAGATTCCTTTGACCCAAAGTATTCATATTTGGTATTTAGATTGGTCATGATTAGGACATGATCCCTTTTGATTTTGAGGTCACTGGATCAAAGGTCAAGGTCATCGGGGCCTTGACACAAAAAGCTTCTGAAGATTCCTTTGACCGAAGGTCTTCATATTTGGTATTTAAATTGGTCATGATTAGAAGATGATCTCCATTGATTTTGAGGTCACTGGGTCAAAGGTCACAGGGGTCTTGACAAAAAAAAGCTTGTCCACCAAATTACTTTAGATTCCTTTGACCCACAGTCTTTATTTTTGGCATGGAGGTTAGTCATGATAAGTAGATGATCCCTTTTGATTTTGAGGTTTCCAGGTCAAATGTCAAGGTCACAGGGGCCTTGACTTAAAAAAGCTTGTCCGCCCAATAACTTAAGATTTTTTAACCCACAGTCTTCATATTTGGTAGTTAGATTTGCAATGATTAGTAGATGACCAGAGGTTACTGGGTCAATGGTCAAGGTCACAGGGGTGTTGACTAAAAAAGCTTGTCCGCTCAATTTCTTAAGAATGCTTTGGTCAACAGTCTTCATATTTGGTATTAAGGTTGTTTATGACTAGTTGATGACCCCTATTGATTTTTAGGCGACTGTGCCAAAGGTCAATGTCACAGGGATTTTTACTATGATAAGCTTGTCTGCTCAGATGCTTAAGAATGCCTGTCCACAGTGTATTGATTTTGACATTTTCACATTTGAAGCATGTAGAATACATAACTTAGCAATGCACTGGCTTAGTAGCCTCAGATTTGGCAGGGAGGTTGTCCTTGATCTCTTAATGGCCACTGTTGATTCTGACAAAGTGGTATGCGGGGGTATTCAAGCCATGACAGTGGCAGTTCTAGTTATAATTGCCTTAGAATACCAACTGCGTAGATGTCGGGTTCGAAATTGAGTTTCCTTACCAAAACACGACAGGTTTATTTAGGAACATATACATCATACAGTGTTCCAATTATCAAGATTAATAACCATTGTTAAATCTTACCATTCTCAATAACGTTCCACGTATCAACCTTAGTATAATATTGAGTGGCTTTCAATCATAAATAGACACAACTAAGTCGTAAAATAAATCGTAAATAAGTGGTATTTTTATATTTCTTTTAAGTACGTAATAAGGTATCTAATTTTGACTGTACAAGCTATTCTTGTTGAAAAAAAACGCATTAGTAATTTTCGTGTTCTTTTAGAAATTATATAATTTTGCTTTTTTATATTTTCGTTTCCAAAATTGCTTAAATTTTCCCAACGATTCACGGTTCATATTACGGAAGCTACACCAAAAGATCTTTATATAAAATATATGATCTTAAAATATCTTAAGTTGCGTGAGTGGGTTGAAAAGATTGTTTGTTAAACCAACCGGTAATACTTTAAACTAATAATGAATAGAAACGTACATAGAAAACATATCTTTCACACGCTTTGAAGAAAAATTTACTTAAAGGCACATTATGTTTCAGAAATAAATAAATGTTTCAATCGTTAGAAAAGGAGAAACTTTACTAGTCCCCTACCGGTTTTAGGTTTACCCTCCGTCCGTCCGTCTGGCTGCACTACTATCCGTCAGTATGTACGTTCACAAAACTTGATCCCATGATAACACAAAAAAATACTTAAAATAGTTTTATGAAACTTGACATATGGATAAAATTATGTACGACTATTTCTTTACTTCCTATTTTGAAAACTTTGGTTGCTATGGCAACAAATAGTTTGTAAAATATGGCAAATTGTCATTGAACGTCACCCGTACCTTGTTGATAGAGTTTTTTTCTTCATTTTTAACACAAAACTAGGTCCAGTAATAACGAAAAAAGACCAGAAAATATTTTTATGAAACTTGAAATATGCATTGATGGCAGTCTGGAGGTAATGCACATCTTTTTCTTCCTATGTTTAAAGATTTTGCCACTTAAGCAACATATAGGCTTAAAATATGGCAAATAAATATTTTTTGTTATACCTCAAAAAGTGCTTGAAATATGTATATAAAATATTGATAGATGGCAGTATGGAGATTATACACATCATTACACGACGGCCTTGGGGCCGGCGTGTGATATGGTATACATAAGATAAAAAATTCCATGGGAAAAATTGGG